GATTATTATACATATATCCTTTCATAAAAAGTGACACTCATAATTCTCAAAAGCGCTAGTAATTAGAAAGGAATGGTCTTGTCGTTAAAAGTTTTTTGACAGCGTTGTTTTTTCGGGCGATCTTTGATTCCGTAAAGTCGCGGTGTCGATTGCGTTAGATCGTTTAGATGCTGAGCGGTGAAAGAACGAGGCAGTTGCGTGAAACGTTAATACGCGCGGCAGGCAGGAGAGTCGAAGGCCGAGCGAGAATCCGCGACGTGTGGGCGCTCTTCGTGCCCACGTGTATCTACGATACGGGCTATGCCATGTGCAGTGTCGTAAACACTGAGGGACCGATAATCGGGTGATATAAAGCGTCTTAAAGCCACGTAATAATTGAATATTTGATTCTTTACACTAAGCTAGTATCTGCAAACAGTCTCTCCGTGGAAATTAATGTTTCATGAATTATCGTTTCATATCGTAGGATTAATGAGATTATCTCTTTTTTTATGTATCAACTAATGGCTCGATTCATAAATAAAGGCTTAATGTTCTTTGATTAGTCATAAAGTGCAATGTGATCATATCAAACGAGATCCGAACACAAAAACTTTGAATTAGAAAGTTAAGGAACAAAAGTTGCACGTCGATTCTTGGTTACTCCTTTCGCATAATAAAACGACAACTTTCTGTTCCCCGCGAAGTGCGACTTTGCGCGAAGGTTCGCTCGCACGCATTTATGAGTGTCGTGTCTGTGTATCTGCAAACGGCGAGCATATGCGTGCCGCATGTGCGAACCGCAATGCACGGTTAAATTTGTGTAGGCGATATTTTGGTCTAAACTAGAGAATCTAATAATAAGAGTTTGGACATGAGAACATCACTTTTGATATTGGTTTGCCATGTTTTAACAAGTTTTTGAAAGAGAAAACTAGATAAGAGAAAGACAGAATAGAAAAAAATAGTTAATGTATGTCCTTTTTTTCCGCAGATTTTTGTTAGAACATATCTTTCATACAAAATTGCGATTTGTGTCCAGACTCTTTAGATCAAAACGCCTTAATAGTTCAGCAAATATCAATTAAGAAATAAATTAAACAAATTATCTTTATTGCAATCTAATTATAGCTTTTCAAAATAAAATAACAAAATAAAAGAAAAAACGGAAAAGCTCAATGATTGAAAAATCAAGAAAAGAGAAAATGAACTTACATTGGTTTATTGTTTTTTTAAATAAAATTTAATAAATCTAATATTGACTTCCACTTCAAAACATAAATAATACACTTTTGTGTTAAATTATACCGATAGCTCCACTGTTATCAGCTACTTTAAAATACGAATAATATACTAGTTTTGTGTGAATTATCGATAACTCCACTCTTATCAACTATTTGACCATGCCAGTTGTTCATTTTCTCGACTTAGTTCGCTATCGCAGTACACTTTCAACCAACATTTATATGATAAGATGGCAGAAATTATTTAGACGTAAGACGATTCTGCCGTTCACAATTCCAAAGTTTCAAGCGGCTGCGGAAAAGTTCTGCAACTTCCGCCGTATTGGTGTGGGTGTATTATTAAGGCCAGCCTTCGAAAACAATTGTAATCGATGGCGGTTAACAATGAATGGTAAAAGGCGGCGAGTCTCAATGCAGATTTCCCTCTTTTCTTATGACTATAAAGTCGATGATACAGGAACAACTAAAGAAGGAACTATTAAAACTATATCCACAAGATTATATTGTGCTACACTGTAATTTACTCTCGTGTATGCAATTTTGACGAATAGTTAATGCGATCAACATATGAATATAGCTGAATAACTGAAGTATATGCAGAGTGTTCGCAGTAGGAGTTTTCAAAGCTCGTATAAAATCGGAAAAATCATTGATCTATCTTGTAACATTAATTTTTTTTAAACCTAGAGTTTGGACGAGTAGTCTAATTTTTTTGCATTTTTATAAGAATATATATAACGATAAAAAACACTTGATATTTTAAATATTGAAATTATAATGCGTAAATATAATAATTGGAACATTTAAAAAATATTTTTTTATACGAGATTAAAAATTGTGTTCGAAAAATGATACTGTTCGTTAATATCGAAATATCGTAGGCGACGCCGGTTACATTCGCGGATGCAGCGAGAACAGGATGCATCGACACGATGCACATGTACATACTTGTAGCGAGAGAGGCGCGGGGTCTTTGGCCGTCTTAATGGCAGATGCACTACGCCGTCTTTGACGTGGCTTTCCCCTAATTCGCGTCAATTGACGGGGACAACGCGATGACGCGATGACGGAAAAGACGACGGTCTGTAATTTAAATTAGCATTATGCATCTTCGTGTCTCGACACCCGAGACGCCCGTTATGCAACGTGTCAGTCCGCAATACGATATCAAACCTTGATGGTTTCTTTTTGATCGCTATATGAAGTCTTAGGGCACATACACTGTTAGATATTAAACAAGCAATAGTAACCCAATCCCTTGAGTTAAATAACTTAATAAAGTTCAATGATATATGATTCCATCTGTATCGAAATATACGAGTAAATCAATTCATTTCTACGATTAATTTTGTTTAAAAGGTAAACAATATTCATATTAATATGGTAACATATGTATTTAAAGTAAATAATAGATAAATTAAATTTGAGTCAAATTTTTAATATTTAGTACATTTTCTTGAATTTTGTGTACGTGTATGTTTAGTCCTTGTTTTAATTAAATTAACGATATCGAGTAGCGACGATCTATAAAAATTATTAAAAATAACTCAAACTGAATATAATTTGACATTATAAATTAAACAGTGCACAAAAAACTTAAACAATAAGACGTAAGCAGGAAGGAAATCAACATGTTGGATTTGCTGCTGTTTACGTTACAGCTTTACGATCTGTATTCTAATTAGCCAATTCACTTATTGCTTATATGTTTTACTGCTTAAGTTTTTTTATATGTTGTGCCTCTTAATGTCAATTTTATCTCTACCAAGCTCGTTCTATTTTAATCTCTTTTCATTACGTTAATCCAACTCGATTTCTAGACTCATCATCTAATTAAATCAATTTTCGTATCAATTTTATTAAAGATAGAAGAGATTCATGTTTTTAGACCTTTTAATAAGACTTCTAAAGGTTGCACTATCGAATATCTTGTTAGTTCCATTGCGGCGACTTCGGCTTACATGTATGATAAGAAATTTAGCGACTCACGAAATCGATTCTATGAAACGAATGCCTATTGCTGCTTGTTCTTCTCGTCTGTATTACGTAAACGCCCCTCACATTTCCGCACACGGATTGTTCCTATCCCGCTCACACAATTCAGCCTTGGCCTCGTACTCCGAAACCTGCATCACGTTGTTTTGTGTTTGCACGGGATTGGGAAATCAACCAAGAGCTACGCCCTTAATGTTTTATTATTGAAAATAACTAGATATCATTTACACTCGATTACTTGGCCGCCTTAGTGAATGCCTAGTGAAGGCGTAGTGAATGTTGTAGTTGTAGCTTATCGAGAGATAAAATTTATGTGAGGAAAATTACATACGTTAGAAATTAGAACTTGTTCCTGGATTAATTTCACTCTTTTGTAATAAATTATTTAAATAATTTATTTTAATTGTTTTGTAACAAAAATTTTGGCAGAAATGCGTCTTGATTTTAGCGAAAATTTACGAACTATATTATTGGTTAGTTTCACTTGCTTTTTAAATTGAACGTTAGAATTGCAGTTGAAAAAATATTTATGAAGAGGACATTTCATCCCACATGCGCAGGAAAATTCAACGATCTCGAAAAATATTTTTCTTAGGCCGCGATACGCACACGTGTGTACATTGGAACCACTCCCTCGCTCGATGACGAAGGGAAGACATAAGACGTGGAAGCCATTCGCTTTCTGATTTAGTCCCGTTAGACTCCGTGCATGAAAATCACGAGCACGTTCGTCACGTGCATCCGTTATGTAGCCGTCGTGCGATTAGCATTGAAGTGGAGACAATGAGAAATATGAAAGAGTTGGTAACAGTGACAAACTTTTAAACGCTAACCGATATCTGTCAAAACCTGTAAATCATTAATTTTCTTCTAAAATATGGCAAGCTGTTAACAGTGATAAACCTCTAAACGGGAACTGATATCTGTTAAAACTTATAAATTATCGATGTTAATTTTTTTTTCCAAAAATACGACACCTGAGCGTTGAATTTTTTTTTTAATTAAATTGAACTAATAATATGATATATAGAAAAGTAATTAAAATTATCTTTTATTATACATATAGTTTTAGCAATATAGCTACAGTCGTCTGAAAATGCTCTGAAAATAGAAGCGGGTCCGTGAATAAAATGGAGTGTCGTTCCCAAATCGGTGATCGCTCATGACGCGTCTCAAAGGACTTGCATAGTCGATTATAGATTGAGAAGAGACCACGGCACGATAATGGCGACTCACGAGTTCGTTAATAGCGCGACGTGTCGAATTTTGATCGAGAGCGCGGCGAGAAGCTGCGACGAGGATCTCGTTGTATCGACCTTCGCGCAGGTTTGTCCCTGAAACTTTCGCAAAACAGAATTGATATCTCGCACGATGCTTCACACGACAACTACTGTTCTTTGTGTCACACATCACCGGGTGTCCCGAAACATTCATGTATACTCTTCAAAATCGATTTCTTTTACAACGAACAATTTTAGGGAAACACATTTGTAAAAATTAAATTATTTATTTATAATATAGATAACGCACAAAATGGACGAGATAATTATTCATCAGCCGCTTAAGTTCAAGGGTTAAAATTAATTTTTGTCAACTATTAATTCCAATTTCTGTATTTGAATTTTAATGTTCTATCGTTCTAAGATTCTGTTGATGATCTTCCGATTATTATTGATATTTTAATCCCTGAATTTACGCGAGCAAGAAATATTTCTTTTAATTTCATAATTGTTTATTGCATTAAGGAAACGCTGAAAAACACGGATGAATTTGTCATTGCAGCCGCCGGAGAATGAGCTGCAGAAAGTGGGCGAGCGCGTGCCGAGTGAGCACGAGCTTAGGGTGCAGCGATCGTTGCAACGACTCAATGTGCCCGACTGGTACAAGAATTCACCCGCTGCCCGCGATGGCTTTCGGTTGAAGAGGCACTCCGACGCGTCGCAGCATGGAGGGTGGCGCGCTCTCGGCTCCAAAACCACCTCCCTGTCGTCTCTCTCGTCGTCTTCCAATCGACAACCGACCACAGGTAGGATTGACTTATCTTTGAACCAGCAACAAAATGTATAATCGATTCTAAAAACAATTAAATGTTATAAAAAAATCCGAAACACTTTAATAAATTAAAAAAAAGTTTAAAAGGTGGAATGTGCTCCAATGTGCAATTGTTGATCCGTGTTCTCTAAATTCTTTGATGGAATCTCACTCTAAGAAGAGAAAAGAGTAAAAATTGAGCCAGTCGAAAAGAGTGGCTCAATTCTCAATCTTTAAGAGTGAAATTTCACTCTTTAAAGTGATGATTTACTTTAAAAGTTTTAGAGAATGAATAATTAGATGTATTTCATTTTGTTAGGTTTTTTTAGCTTAACTATACATCCGTTTTTTTTTTCTTATATTGCAGGTGTCCTTCTGAGTCCCAGTCCTACACCCCCCGTATTCTCGAGATGGAGTACCAGTTTGCTGAACAGCGCCGGCAGTTCACCCGCGAGTTCGGCCAGGTCGTCCTTCAATCACCGGCAGCCCTATTTGGGCTGGCGTTCTCAGGAGCGATTGACCAACCCGCGGACGCCAGCGGAACGTCTTGCTCAGGGTATTCTTCCTCAACTGCAGGCTGCAAACAAGGTTAGTGCATAATAAAAAGAAATCCCTTCTTTGTTCAACTTATTTTTTAATTTTTCGTCATTTCGGTCTTATCAGCTTTTCATAATCCTTCGTGTGAGATTTAATCTCGGGGCAAATTAAAATTGTCCATTCACCATTCAACACAATTTTCCCTTAATATCAGCGCAAACGCGTCAGCAAATACAAAATACCTCGTGGAAATTATTGACGTCACCATTTACGTCACGACTTCTCTTACGTCAGCAGGCCTTAGAATTCCAACGTATTTGTGAATCGATATTCGTGATTGTGTATATCTGTGTGTTATACGTTTTGAGTTTACGCACATTTCGTATATTCGTACTTGTTGATGAATTCTGAAAGCGAAAACTAACGACGCGATTCCTTGTGATTCGTTTTCGTTTCTTCCACCGTCCGACCCCTCCACGAGATTTGCATCTTGCTCTTTGTGCAATTTATTTTTAATTTCCGCAGACAGCACGCAAGCGCATCGTCGCTTTCTAAAATTAGAAATTCTGGCAGGAAAGCTCCTATCGTTTCGTATCTTTCGCGGTTTCTTCCCTGAAAAATCTTTACGTGATATATTTATAAGACTATTAGGATTCTAAAGCTTTTTCTTTAATGATGATAATAATTTTAAAGAACATTTATCATCATAAATTTATCTTTATATAATGGGTTGTATAAATAAATAATTACTTGTTTTATAAATATTATAATGTCAAGTAATAATTATTAATTACATGTTATAAAATATTTATATATATTCTAAATAATTTAATTATAATCTTCTGATGATAATTTCTATATTTCTCCAAAACACTTGAAACAATTAATGAATTATTATAATTACTCTAGACTTTAGAAGATTAATTAGAAATATTCTTGAGAATAATTGTTTCTCGAAATTCTCGACATTAATAAATAACAATAATTAATGTTCTGGGTGAAATTAATTTGAGTCAAAATATCAACTGTGTTATATCACCATAATAAATCTTCAATTGCTGGGAATGGATTTCATACTTGTTTTGCAACAACAGCAACAGCAGCAGCAACAGACAACGAATCAGCAGCTGGAAGTACGGAACTCGATAAAGGAGGTGACCTCGGCCATCGTGCATTACGTGAAGAGCGGCCAGGAGGTCGGCGGAGGCAGTGGCCGACTCTCGCCTCGACCTCGACCTGAAGATTGGGATGACAGGGGCGGAGCGAGGTCTACCAGCCCCAGAGGTGAGCACTAAAGCAACCCCCTCAGCCACAAAAAAAAAAATATACCATCCTATCAACATCACAACCACCATCACCTTTGCTCTCCGTCACGAAGGTAAATTTTGAGTTTTCCTATTTTCTTAATGTCTTCTTTTATCTTCCTTTGCAAGCTGCCTCTCTTTTTCTCTCTGTCTCTGTCTCTCTCTTTGTCTCTGTATGCATCAGCTGGCTCTGCGCATCGATGAGGTCAAAACAGGTCGGTTTTTTAAATTTTAACCCCCCCGATTTCTTAAATTAAAGAATTTTAAGGGTCCCGCAGGATGTATTTTCTCAGTGAGATTCACTTGGAAACGCGTTTCAAAATATTTTCTTATTTCGTAATGAGCACCCTTAGAATTCTCCGTTCGAACCCCAATTATTATATTACATTTTAGTAAAATATTGTTATGAAATTTACATATAAATCATTATCTTTTGAATTAATGCAAATTAATGCAAATTAATGGAAATTAATGGATATCATTGATGGAAATTCAAATTATGGAAATTTTTAATTAATTCAAAACTATCGTTACGCGCGCGCGATATATTATTTTGTTACATACATCCAAGGTTTCAAAAATACAATTTAAGTCGTAATAACCATTGTATTAAATGTAAAATTCTAAACTATCTAAAAATGTCTAAACTAAGACTTTTCTTCTCGTTCGTCATTGAGGCACTGAGTGCAAGTCATAGCGTTAAGAGTGCTTCGTGCAAGTGGCTCGCATACACGTGTCGCACTTTAACATGGTACAAGTATTCAAGCTATAAGTACAAGGTCTACATCTTCCGCGTTTTGAATTGCGACTGGTATCGTTTTAGATATAAATAAATCCATTGATAGGATGTAAATGTTCAATCTCAGTATCAGATGATCCTTCGTTAAATCCATCACAGATTTCTGATGTCAGAAGTGTCCTTAGATTTCGCCTTCAAGATTATTATAAGGAAAGTCAAGTTTAGTCTTCTTCCTTGGTCTTATTTGAACTTTGACACTCCTGTTCTGGAAATAAGAGATAATAAAACGTGAGCAGCTTTTGATACTCGAATGTTTATTATAGAAAGTGCACTCCTAACAGATGTGTACGCTTGTCAACTTACGATGTTACAAAATAGCGCGATCGACAATGTGTCGCTTGATTTTGAAATCTAGTGTTGCGTACTGCAGTCAGCGCCAGATCGTGACCTTCTCGGACAATCTCAACGCTGTGACTCGAGAGAGAGTATCGTCGAGACGAGTCGCAGCTATTTCGATAGTGTCTCATGACTGTCGTCACCGAAATAGATTACCCTGAAATTCAAACACCTCTTCTCCCCCTCCTTTCATTTTCTCAACGCGAATAAGGTATAATGTTGAAGGTGTAAATTGAAAACGACTACAGGACTAGAATGAAAAGCTTTGCGTGAAGTCGAAATCGCAAGCTCTGTTTTATTACTAAAACTTTGATCGATTCGATATCTTCCAGATGCTGCTGTGACGCGTATTGAAACTTAATCGCTTACTAACACCAACATGTTGTACAAATATCAATAACAGATAATGATAATAACTTGCTGCTTACTTAAATATTTCTCATGTAACTTACTATTTACTAACAAAAAAAACTTTGGTGCTAACTTCACTAATGCCACTCTTCAAAATAGATTTATCAACGTTGTTATATAAAATTTAAAAGGAATAGGATCGTATAGAATCACGTGTATGATTCCGCTGTTGCATTCTCCAATTTATTTGATATTATTTTTAATTTCCTTTGTTATTTGTCTCTCAATACCCATATGCTTCTACTACTTAAGACGTTTATAGGATCAATAAAGATAGTTAATGCCCGCATCGTCGGGTCCTAATCGTCAGAGGAGAGCCTTATAACGAAAGAGATTATAAATCCCCTTGATATTATATAACACGTATGTGCACGAATAGCTTCTTCCTTGATGCTTTGCGCGTTTAAGAACGTGGCAGTTATTTATTCAGCGTTTATCCTTTAAGGATTAAATTTTGTAGTTAAATTAACGCATTTATAACGTCTGTAATCGCAGAAAAATGAAATGTATGAAGCAATAGTTTATTGTCATTAGAAATATTTTTTAAGAACAAATTCTTTGATTATGACTCTATGATGATCGGACAAATTCGTACAATATAATTTATAAAATAAAATTTACAAAATTGAGTCACATTTAAGTGAGATTTTGAAAATCTTAAAAATTACAAGTAGATTTTCTACGAAAACATAGGACTGGGAAGTCCTATAAAAGTCCTCGATTAGAATAGTTTCCGACGCCGACGCGAAGGGTCACTCATGACCCGGGCCTAATTGCTCTCGCATTTGTGTCGGCACCTCGAAGGGAGCGTGAGGCTGTGCTGGATGGAGAGCTCGTTCGTCGGCACACGGCCCGTGGACTCGCCGGAGACGCCTATGAGCCTGGCGACCGACCAGGAGGGCGGCGAATGCTGCAACGCGGCCGGCACCGAGTCCTGCAGCTGCCAGGACTCGGCCGCATCCGGTCTTTACCTGGACCTGACACCCAGCCGAGATGACGTGCGCCATCAGCATCTTCAAGCATCCTCGGCCGGCCCGTCGCCCACGTCCTTCTCTAACTATCATCATCATCAGCGTCACCAACATCGCCAGCAACAACAGCAACATCATCACCGCGGTGAGTTGCTGCTCGCCTAGCGGACGCGCGAAACTTTCGGCATCCAGGTACTTCTGGTACTCCGCCCATCGCTGAGCGCGCGAAACTGACGAAGACGATTCGTGAGGAGATTTTCCTGCAGATTGAAAATTGAGCCAAGACTCGTATGAAATAGCTTGATTAGTTTTATAGAAAACATATACAAATTTAATATAATAAACATATCAATATTAATTAATATTTAAAAATATCAAGACTGCATTCCAAAATGTCCTTTCTAAAGAAAATTTTACCCGATATGTACTATATTATATCGATAGAGTTGCCAACTGGAAAACAGGGAAAAAAGTCAAGAAATTTTGCAAAACTTTTTGAAAATAACAATACCTAGGATAAAGAATTTGTGATTATTCTGATTGAGTAAAATTTTTCTCGGACAGGATGTTTTGAAATGTAATCCAAATATCGAAGGAGAACGGTTTAAATCAAACCATTACATAAATTAAAAAAAAAAGCTTAAATTTATTGTGAAATATATTTTTGCATTCCCGTTTTTACGAGTCGCTTGGTAAATATTATAATCTTTAAAGGTAATGCACTGAGAAAAAAATTTCCTAAATAAAAATAAATATTTATTTGAATACTGCCAATTAAATATTTACTTACAGTAAATAAGTGTTTACTTAATAAAAAGAAATTATTATTGAATCATATTAATGTTTGTTTTTATACAAATATATCTTTATATTATATTTAATAAATATTTAGTTGACATTATTAAAATATTTATTTTTAAATTTATGATATTTTTTCTCAGTTTATTCGTCGTGCTTTTATCTCGTCGACATAGGTACAGAACCCCGGAGGCACTCTCATAATTCTCTCCGGGACCGCGAGCTTTTTATCGTCACCGACGGTGATTAGAGCTTACGCCCACATATCGATAATCGTTATCTCCCTTCATTCCGTCCTCGTTTTCGTCAGCTTTCGTTGCGCGCTCAGGTGACCTGCAGGTGCGCGAGGCTTAATCGAGCTTTCAGGACTCAGCTAATAATTAATTTACAAAGCCGACTCGAGTCAACATATATTCTCTTTTCTCGTTCTCGGAAGTTTATCACTGCGACTACAAGACGATAAAGCTGTACATCCACTTGGGAACTCTCTTGTACCTCGAGAATGATTCCCGGTAGTAAAACCTTCGGAACTGCGAATAATCGCAGACTTCGTTCGTCGAAAACTTCTGTTATCGAGAATTTCCTATTCGAGAGGGATGCTCTCAAGTGGATATCATCAGGCTTGATCGAATGGCGAGACTCGAGATGACGATAAAAACGAGACGAACTCGTTGCATTGGTGTTTAGCGCGATTTACCTGATTGCAGCTTACTTGCTCGAGGATTATTTCTCGGGAAACTAAAAGTGCATACTCGAGTCGCGCTTTTCGCGGACTTTTTCGCACGGCGAAAAACTCTAAAATAAAAAATTCTCCATTCCACGCGCGTTCTCTCGTCTCTCACTCACTCTCTGTCTCTCTCTTTTTCATTCTTGTCGTCGCTCATGCGAGAGAGCTTTTCGCGAAGAATTTTGTAGTACACTTTCTTACTTTGTTTACGATACGTGTCGACGACCCTCCGCTCCCCTTCCCGTTCGCTGATAAAGGAACAATTAAATGCGTTCCCGTATATCATTGTATGGAGATATTAATTTTATATTAATTTAATCATTGTACTTCCCCTCCTCTCTCCTCGCTCATCATTGTCAGTAGTTATTTGCGTTCATGTATGTTTACTGTAAAGCTGTCCACTTTACGTTAACACCTGTAGAACCTGTACAGGTGCATACACATATTTGTATTAATTAGGTTTACTTATGTAAAACGCGCGCATATCGTTTATTATGTGTTACGAGCGCATCGATATTATTATTATCATTATCGTTATTATTATTTTTAATTGTATTATTATTATTATTATTATTATTATTATTATTATTATTATTATTATTATTATTATCATCATCATCATTGTTACTATTTTAATTACGGCTTCGAAGCACGCAGAATCACGTGCGCACGTCTCGTTTTGTCTCTTGCTGTGCCTTAATGATTTTTTTATTTTGTAATTATTATCGATGTATATTGAATGCGCGAGTGATATTATTATAAAGCTAGATTTCGATCGTGTGTGAATCACGAGACGACAAGAACGATGATCTCGCGATGATTCTGCATGCCCGGTGCTCCCCTGGTCTCTCTGTCTCTCTTTCAAACGGTTCCGTACTTATTGTTCGGACGTGTCAACGATTATTATTTGTCTGTAGAGCATAATTATTATCCCTGGCAACAAATAAATTATTGTCGTCATCCTTTGTGTTTCCGTAAACTTCTTTGTTCCCGCGTTCATTTATATATTTACATATATATATATATATACATATATGTGTGTACATGTATGTATATACATTATTTTTTTATATACATAACTATATATAATTATTTTCTCTTCTCATCCCTAAGTGTTTCTTTCATTAAATCGGTTCACTTTACGATCTCAATTGGTAAATATTTTGATATTAAAACATTGCGTATTTTATATGTACTTTTTGCAAGAACCGATTTAATGGCACGATCGTCTATGTAAATATTGTCTGCATACATTTATTTCGGTCGCATTGTGTACCACGTTCTGCTTGTGTCACGGTAAGTGTTGCAGAATTTTGTTGCTTTCTCGGCTACGATGTCAGCAATCGAGTTCTGTCTTTTCATATGTAATTTGACAGCCGCACTTTATGCGCGCGTAAAGCACAATTGATGACATTTAAATAATGATCGATCGATCGATCGATAATTAGCAGTCCCGAAAATGTAAACTTGATCTGGCACATAACTAGATGTATTATTTTTTGAGTCGCAAGTTACGGTAACTTCGGTCGGCTGCAATTACGCGTCTGTCGCATTTACTATTGATGAAGATTCGTAAAAGTTTGTCATCTCCCTAGTATGAAGAGCGTATGCTTTTTCGAGGCCAAGAGAAATTTAACGAAATGGGGGAATCGCTTTATTCATAATGGGGTAAATGGGTCACTGGAACCCTGGAAAGGATTTTCTTCCATTTTCACTCAAGTACACGCGTATACACACACACATACGCACACGCACACGCAGTTGCCTCCTTTCGTAAAACGGGACCAGATTAAGGGGGCAACGAGAAAGTAATCGCTTTATTATTAATCACGGAGTTAATGGAAAATGGGGGAAGGCTTATTTCGTTCTCACTAAATGCATATAATATATACATGTACACGCACATAAACACGACATACGCGCGCAAGTATGCGCGCACGTACACTTTCGAGGCCAAGAGGATGACGCAAACCTCTCTTGTCTCTTCTTTACCCCCGCATGATGATACCGATGATCAGGATCGGGCCAGAGCGATACGGACGAGGCGATGGCGACGGCAGCTCTTCTGCGGAACAAACCGAGCCCGGGCTCCACAACCCTGGAGGACGTACTTGACTCCCTCCTGGGGCTGCCACCCGCGTCGCGTACCCCGAGTCCTGGCCCGGGGGGACCCGTCGTGACCGCCACGTCCGCCATCCGCCATCGCCATACGAATGCCGCCGTCGGCCAGGCGAATGCCGGGCAGAGCTGCAGCGATCTACGCCAAGACCTCCAAGGTAGGAGGACTATGTAAGTTTTCGTTCTGATCGGCAAATTCTATCCAAGAACGATCAATTTTTATACGTACGAACCCCCTATCGTAACCCTTGAAGAGCGTGCGCATCGAGTGTCCTGTCAGAATCTTACGCAAGCGATAGAAATTTGATATCGTAAAAGTATATACCGATCTAAATTTCGCAATTCATTTTATTCTGAAAATTTATTTTAAGAACGGTCGGGAATTCTTTTGGAAAATTTGTGGAGATTTCTTTGGAATTTCTTTTTTTCTTTAATTTATTAGCACGAGAGAAATCTGCCGCTGGCAGTATACATTCTCCGGGTCACTTCGATGTACACGTGTATTCGTATTCCGACTGTGTATTCCGCTTTGCGGTGTAAAGAAAAAATTATTAACTTGCGTTTCTCTTCGCCTCGTCGCCTCACCCTTCACCCACGGAGACTGTGCTTAATACGAATATTGAACGAAGGAACCAGGTTCCGCGCGCGAAATAAGATATACTCAAGATAAAATTACATATATCATATCATCCTTACATATCACCTTATCGACGACGCAGGGAATCGAAAGAATGTTGCGAAAAGACTCCCCCCAACGACTCTCCCGAAAGAGAATTTCAATTTCATCCTTAAAGAGATACTAATAAAAACGGGACGAACGAAATGCGACGAACATAAAATGCGACGTTGTTGCTTTTTTAACTCGAGTCTCTGTGGACCACAATCGCTGACTCGATCTATCGATATAGAAAAAAAAAAAGAACCTATGAGAGCATCATCCGACATGAAGAAGAACGCGATAACGCCCATCTCGCGTCTCGATGCCTCCCTCGAACTCACGTTCTTTTGCACCTTTGCAGAGGCGAGCCTAAGGGCGTGTAAAGCCCCTCACGGGGTCGTAGACACCCCAGAGTCCAAGGACGAGCTTGGCCGTGGCCGGCCACCGTAGCAGCCGCTCGCTGCTTATCGCGCGAATGATTAGGACCGCATGATTAATAACACGAGCCGAGACGGAGATCGTAAGACAAAAAAATCATCACCAAGACTCTCGACACTCTGTTTCTGTCTCTATCTTTCTCTCTTTTCTTACATATCTTTTCTCTGTCTCTTGAAAGATCTGTCCCTCTTTTAGCAGCGCTTCTCCTACACTTTCCAACGATCTGTCTACTTTCACGCGCTTGTATCGCGAATTTTTTTCCGACGCGTTATCGAATTTCAAAAGACTTTAAATGATTAAACGTTTTAAATTTAAGATTTAATATTGTTTTAAATTTAACTTTTTAAAAGCGCTAAATTTAACGGGAAGATCGATGACAATTGATTTACTTCATTAGACTTGATTATATACCACATTTATTTTTAATACAGAAAACGTAGGAAAGTGCGACTAAAAAGAACAGATCTTCTATGGTTCTGTGCACGATCAAGCTTGATGGCACGTGGGATGGATACACAGATTGGATTCGCTTTTACGCGAACTTGTAGCCCACTCGCTCTTATTATAAAACAAGTCTTTTTTTTATATATAGTCGTGACTTATATTCAATAAATATATAGTGCATTGAAGTAAAAAAACTTAAAAAGAATTTTTATATTAATATTTTTAGAGAGAAGTAATATACGCATACCATATAAGAGATAAAAAGAGAATTTTCTGTAAGAATTTCTCAGAGAAATTTTAAGATTAAAATGTTGAATGAAATGTTTCTACTTACGAAATTAAAAATTATATTTCTCTTTTTCTAAGTTAATCTTCATTCACTACAATAATGAAAAGTTTATATCACAACATTATAATGAAAAATTTTTTCGAAAGGAAGAATTAATTTCCATGAAAATGAAAAAATCTTAAATATGTTTATTACCAGTAATTTACATACTTAAAAAAAAAGTTTAATACTTCTGTTATAGAACTCGATATATTTTTATGATGTTCTTTTTAGTTAGCTGTCTTGTTCTTTAAATGATTTCAGTTATTTTTGCTTTAATGCTTTAGTTTTCTTAGATATTTGCTTCAAGTACTGAGTTTGTAAAGCTATCACTGACACAAGGAAAATGCGATTAAACGGCAAGGAAAATTAGATTGTTGAGGGGAGGCGGATTATTATACGTACGAGTGCGTCATTAAAAGATACATCACGCCGATCACTGTCATTCACGCTCATACTTGCTTATATTCATCACGTCATTGTGCTTAACGCGTTTCTCGCGCTGGCTCTCAGTGACGATGACGGAGGAAAGTGAGAACGAATTCTCTCTCATTCGATATCACTACATGAAATCATTTAGTGCCATTCATCATGTCACACCGAAGTAATAAACATCATCATTTTCCATTTAATGCCACCAGTAAACTGACTCAAGAAGAAGAGCTTGCTTTCAAATCGTGTAAAATTCATACTTTGAAGATACGAAAATTATAGGTATTGCAAAGAGCGCTGCATGAGAATTTGGCAAGAATAGTAATGCGCTTGAAAATACGCATCTTTGCTTTTTACAAAATCTATAACACGATTTTAAGATGAGCCCTTTTTAGTTCAATCACGATCGTTCTCCAACCTCTCTCATCGTCTCTCCTATCCCTCCACCTTAACGTACTTGTATTGATAAAGGCAATCGATGTGACCTGTCGCAGAGTCAGCTAAGAGCGTGATGGACGTTCATCAGGCAACCGTCGAAGATCAGCGCAACTTCTACTCCGGTGAGCTGGTGAGACGGAAGAGCGAGGGCAGTGACACGCTGCCCTCGCGAGCTGCGGTTGTCGCCGCCGCAGTTGCGTCGTCCTCGTCGTTGATGCCGCGCGGTGGCGTCCAGCCCCGTCACCGTAGGGTGTCTTTCGACAATGCCCAAGACTCCACTACTAACGGCAGCTCGGCTGCCATGGACAAGGTAGTGCGGTGCCGTAACAACAAGTGCGGTAACTCGACCACCCTGGCAGAAGCGAGGAGGACCTATAAGAGCTGCCACAACTGCACCTGCCTATACTGTTCGCGCGAATGTCGAAGAGCTCACTGGCAACGTCATCGTAGGACCTGCCTTCATTCGCGAGCCGGCAGTCTCTGCCGCCAGGTATTGTCCTCGGCGAAAGAAGACCCGGCCACCCTGAAGCACATCTCCGCCCTTGCTAGACGAGGCTATGCCGGTCACGGTCGCGGCGCGGTCAAGTGCTTCTTCTCGAGCCCCGAAGCGGCCGAGCGTTTCGTCGGCAACGGCTTCGCCGACCTTGGCGAGCCCACCTACGTGCGTTGGTCGGACTTACTCCCGGGCGAGATGGGCGCCGAGCTATACGCCGAATTGATGCGCCTCTGTAAGACATATAATCCGGAAACGCGGCTAGTGCTGTACGTGGCGGTGTGCGTGGTTAGCGAAGTGCCGACTAGCGGCGCGGTCAGGTGGGAACGGCAACTAGTATCCAGGTGTGCGAAGATCAGACTCGACGGGGCGGCTAAGCAGCATGCTTCCTCCTCCTCGGCGTCTCCACAGGCCAGAAGGAGACTGTCGCAACAAGCACCTGCGTCTCCCTGCAACATCACTAGAGAGATGGACTCGCCTGAGACCTTAGTCTTGACGTCATTACCCGGTAACAACGGTCAGAACACGCCACGAAAAGCGCGAGAGATCAGCTTCACTAATATTCAACGGCAACTCAGGCTCAGGGGAGTCTCCTTGAGAAGACACTTTCCCCAGGTGTATCGGAAACTTTGTTCTTACGTGGACGGTTCGGTGGATAAGTTTGCGCCGGTGACCATCTATCCCAGAGATCAGGCATCCGGTAAGAGCTTCATGTGTATCATCATGCTGGATGCGGAGCCTGAACGTCTTCAACTATTGCCCACGGACTCGTCCAGGGTAAGGACAGTGGACATCAGCGTGGAGCAAGAGTGATAACCATGTCTGAGTAGAACGAGATTCAAGAATCAAGATAAATCAAGACACATCGCTCAGGATATTCCTCAGATTCACGGGGAGACTGTCAGAAACGTCGTCGTGGACGGATTTCTTCAGGATGAAGAAGACTGACGTCGGCCGATGGCAGAGCAAAAGCGAAGATTACATTTGGGTGAAGAAATGATCAAGAGAATCACAGAAGATCGCAAGAGACTTGCTCAGAAATTTTCTCAAGTTTTAGAAAAAAACGATCGAAGATGGCTATTGACGGATGCCTTCAGATTAAAGACTATTTCATTAGCTAGTGGAGTAAACTCCGATAATGTAAAAGTTTAAAAGGTATCCTAATTTCATCGGATATCTTTTGAATGTTTATATTATCTGTGTGGCAAAATGTCTAGGTAGAAGAATATCTAGATGAAAATGTCGACGGAAGTCCAAGATGCGAAGCTCAATATTTGAGCTCACAGACTTGTATGATTTCACACACAGGATATGCACGTGTACAAGACTTTTTCTATCTTTCCTTCTAGAGAAAAAAGAAATCGAAAAACACGCGAAAAACGAAAAGCATTGCTCTGTTCTCATATTCATCCTCTTTCTCGATACCTTATCGCGATCGTATGAAGGCAATCCTCCGTCATTTCAGACATCCTCGATTTGGTCGTTGTTATATAAGAGGTTTATTATAATCATTCGCCAGAAAATAAGTCTTATTGAAGAATTATTATCGATCCTTTCAATCCAAAATATATACGATTAATAACTTCTAAAGAATATTTGAGGAAAATTAAATAAATATTTTCACGCGTTTATTAGTATATCACAACGATTTGATAAATCAAGTAGAATAATCTTTATATATGTATAGTAGATAGTCATGTTTCTTTAACGATTCTTTTGAAGGGATTGAAAGGATCAGTAACGATTTCAAGATTCTCGGCGGATGGAACGGAAAGTAAGATTTAGAGTACGTTGTTGTCTCTTCGTTCAACTTTGCATTGTTTAAATATTTTATCGTATATATTATATGTAAAGAGGCGAGAAACATTTTTCTCAGCGGATACATTCACGGAAGTTTCGCTTAAGAGTCTCACGTTATCGGAGACGGAATTACAATCGTGCAATATCGAGCCTCGAGAAAGGGAATATATTTCAAGAGTTATATTGTGTATATTTTAATTTGTTCATGCAAATGTTATTACAGTTCTTATTACAATTACAACTAACGGAATGCCTGCCTTACTTATCGGCATGTAAACATAATTCCCATCGTTATTAATCGGATTAATTTAATAATACGAATGTAATCGCGAGATTCTTTTGACATCCTTCTTCCAACGTATGGAAAAAAAGAAGACGAACGTATCTCGGAGATGCGATATCAAAGATTTTACCGCAAGTATCGTCCACGTCTATGACATCGTGCCAAATGAGAAAAGCGTGATGAAAGTCGCGAAAAGCAAACTTTCGGAACGTTTCCGTAGAACATCGTCACTTTTTCGATATTAACTTCTAATCTCGAGAGAACGCGCCACGCGTACAATTTCGGTTAAAAACGGCGAAAAGTTTTCCCGCGGATCAACGAATCGCCAATTTTATTAATAGTAAAAGTAGCTTTAGGTCGAGTTGCATCACGAGAAACGAATTACAAAAGGCTGATTTTCCAGCGGAAAAAGAAGAAGAGTGATCGATAATGGTGCCAATGATAATGAGAGATTTACATCATTACTTCGTATAGCAATATAAAAACGTACCGAAAGAAAAAAGAAATCCGAAATTACGCGAGTGTCGCGGCGTCATCGAGCGGCGATTAATCAAGCAATCCACGATGCTTCGGTGATTATAATTTTAATAAATAATTAATGGGGGGAGAAATCGCTAACGAAGGAACGAAGGGCGGAAGCGCGATTTCCTACGCTAGTTGGTAGAAGTCGATACCCGTTTTTATCGATGACAATGCAATTTTTATCGACGACAAAATACGATGGAAAGTAAATGGAACCAAAAGAGGATGCATCGCAGTGCCAATAATAAAATACCATCGATATTTCTATAATCGACGAGGAATACTCTATTCGTTGTCAAGAAATTATAAAAGACAACTACATTCCGCATACACCGATCATGAAGATCCTTATGATTATTGATTTCGATTAACCGGATTCTTTTGTATGCTTTAGCGAGAACATCGGAGTTATTATCAACGTTCCATTGATCGTTAACATCCGTTACATTCAAGCTTGCGACCAATGTTGATCCCTCATTTTACGTTTGTATATAGCGCTATTAAAGGGATATATACATATAGGAAGAATAAATTAGGGGTAAGAGAGCGACTTCGCTAGCGAGAGGAGATTAAAGAAATCGATCAAAATTCGAAAGTAGGCGGCTTACTGGAGATCAGTCCGTTACATTCTCGATAGTTCCTTTTCCTATCTCTATTATGCGAACGATTTCTGCGATTTCATTATACAGGCTGTATAATAAAGTGTACTGATTTCGACGCTTTGCGATACATCTTGTATAAATATATTTATATATCCATTCCGCTCTAGAAATATATAAGGATCAGCGAGGATACATCGGTCGGAAAAAATACTTGATTTTGTTTATTAAAGATACAGCGTGTTTGTGAGGGATTTGTATTAGAAAAAAATTTTTTTTTGTAAAGAAAGGTTTTTATATTAGAAAATTTATTGAAAAAAAGATTAAAATTTTATATTATTTATTACGTCATTTTTTACTAATTCGTAAATTCGAAGAAAAATCAAGAATGTTTGTTGAGTACTTAATTATCATTAATTCGTCAAATATTGGAGTCTCACCGGAAATGTCTGCTGCAGAAATTGAATAATTATGAATGATACGTAGAAACTCTTTAGACACTCTGTATCGTTTCGACCGATTCGCGAGAAAGCTGTTGCTCGACGTTATAAACTAATCAAGACGAGAGAACTAATCTATAAAAAAGAAAGAAAAATAAATTAAACGATTCAATTGATCAAACGAGCAATCAGCCCACGCATAGTCACTCTAAAGTCTAAAGATATCGTTTCAGCGTCTATTTATCGGTGCTACCAGAATGTGCTATCATTGTTTTCGCATCTGTGTATGTCTCGATTTTTCAAATAAAATGTTAATTTTATTACATAAACCCACGGTGTGAATGCCTTTAATTGCCCAAAATCATTCGCAAGATAATCGAAATTAAATAAAGAAGATATGATGACAAAAAAATTTGTGGATTAAAGTAAAAAAAATAGCAGTAGACTAATAAACGATTTAGAAATATTTTTCGATCTACACCGAGATTATTGCTAATTCAAAGGAATGACTTTCTTCAACAATGGAGAAAACCTGTAGTGAAGGATTTACGAAATTTTTTTGATTTATTTGGCTTTGTACAGATTTGCTACAAATTTATTATTATTAATAATACCATCGTATATTTGTAACGGTGTGGGTAAATGACGTTCTTGCAGCCTGGATGGATCTCTCGCGAGTCCCGGAGACCGATTCGAGTCCCAGACTGTTCTCCGTCTTCAAATCGTATAGATTTCTTCCCTCATATCTCTCTCGAACATTACCGATCCCGATCGATCCCGACGACCGTTTCTCGAATATATATACTTGTATCACGAGCATACACTTCGTTTTACATAAGCTTTGGAATACCCGTGGACATTAGGTACACAACGGCTTTACAATAATTTAGTTTTTACGGGAAACCCCTTGCGGAAAGCACGGTTGAGACGAATGACAACTATATTTATTTCGTTCATACAAACTCGCACGATATCGAGAAGCTTACATTAAAAAAAAAAAAGAATCTCGTTTCGTCTTTTTTCCCTCTTTCTTCTCCATTCTTCTCCTTAAAAAAACCTTCGATAAATACTGCGTCGTAAATTGGCGAGATAGCTAAGAATATCCTTTACGTCTAATGTCCTTATGTCTAGTTTCAATCTGCACTGAAGCTAGATTCTGTAACTTTTAAGGTATGTCGTTATCGTTGTCCTTTTTATATATCATACCTGCGCAACATAACAATGTAACGATAATGACACTGTCATCAAGAATTACAGAATCTGCTACGCGCTATTTGCGCGTATACCGGATATGCCAACATCTCCATGAAAATGGTAATGTCCTGATGGACTTCTTGACACGTATGGCCAGAAATATTTAAAAAAATATAAGAAATAAAAACTCTATCTTTAAAAAAAAGTAGAGCGGTTGGCGCATCCTGTATGCAAAATAAGAATTATTCAAACAAAAAGTAGCATCTCTGACGTGAAGTACAATTTATCTAGCAAACTAAACGAAATTATCCCACCCCTGTCATTATCGAATTACTTCCGCAATTGTAAAATGAATAATGAGTACAATTTGTTCGTGAGATGCTTTTGGCTCTCACGAGGAAGTTGATCACTGTACAGGAATAATATTGGTTTTATCTAAATCAGAAATCAAAGTTGATTTGATTAATCTATGAAATCGTGCGCGCGATCTTCCTATTATTTTTAAATCGCCTGTTCTACGTCATCCAATTCCAAATAAATTAAACTTAAACTCGGACTGTCGGGCACTTCGCTTTCCGTCTCAACGAGCCTCGTTAATTATTGTTATGTTGCAATTATAGCTCCCATGTTCAAAGACTTCCGTAAATGTACACACGTCGTTGCCGATGATTCGCATATCATTTTCCGTCTTAATACATTTTATATAATTATGCTTATTCGATTCGAGCCGATCGAACAACGCAATAAAAATTAAACTTTATAAGATGAAAAAGATACACGTATAAAGCACAAACTTTACAGAACCTCCTGAAAAAATGTAAAAACTTTCTGATAAACTTAAAATCGACTATCTTCTAAAAAATTTTAAAAAATAATCACGAAGGAATCGGAAGTATCGGAATTTCTTCATTCAGTGTTCTTCTAAGCAAACTTTTTGAGTGTCCATTTACCTGGTCCAACAGAATCGCCCGTCCCATTTTCGCGTTACTTACAGAAAATTTGTAGTACATACAAGAAAATTTACAGATCTTCCTCTCAGGGAAATAGCGGAGGTAGCAGAGAAAAAAACGCTCGTCTTCCTCACTACCGCACCGCCATGAAACTTCGCGGTAAGATTACCACGACCGATATTTTTTTATATATTCTATAATATATATATTTATATATAATTATATATTTATCTGTGTATACATATATATACATACATATTTAAATAAATGTATGTAGGTATACATATGCTTATCGGCTTATCTAGAATCGTCGTCATCGTCGTGTTTCGCCAACATCGATGCAAAATAAATCACAATCGTATTTCTTCCTCCCCATTTACCCTCCGATTGGCAACTGTGTTCCCGCGCAGTTAACAACAATATGTCGTGTCGCATACGCACCTTTTCTCTCTTGTCTTCTTCCTCACCGAGTTACGTGCTAACGAATACGCTAAAAAATATTAATCCTTCCTCACGTTTAGCCATTCTACGTTTAACAAAGTATTTTGGTTTCTCAGCACGACGTGGCGAAAGTAATCATTCCGTTCAAATGTGAAAAAAAGATTTTTCTTTTAAAAAATGGAGATATTTATTATAGTATCGTATAGCAATAGTGCATGCAGCAATATATCGTGTAAAATGGTTTGAAAAAAAAAAAAACGGAAATAGAAGAAATTCAACGTATCCGGAAAATTGGTGCGATTACTTTCGCATCGTCTTGCGTATTCCTATCAGCGCCGTAACATGGAAGACGGCTTGAAAACGACGGAGAATAAGAAAATTCCGGAGAACTCTCGCGACAAGAATACGAAAGGAGCTTCGAGATTAAATTCTATCTTACAGTCTCGTTCTAGAGTATCCAGCCCTGTGCCTTTTGGTTTAACTCGCGTCGTCTTGTCGATGGTGTACGCGTTTAACGCGGAGCGCTGCTCATCTCTATGGGGTAAGTAGAGACGCTTATATATTATTATCATTATTACTATTATCTTTATATTATTTATTTGTATATGTACGTGTGTTGCGTGTGTATGTGTGTGAGTGAACGATCGCCATGCATCATCGTACAGCATCGTTATGGAATGTGCCGGGAAGGAAGTTCTACCTGGTTCTACCTGGTGTGTCACGACTTCGGCAAGTCGATGTTCACTTTCTTTGTGTGCGCATATTTTTGCCGACAGTTTGAACGCCTCATAACATTATTATGACCAGAATTATGACTCATTTATAAATACCAAGATTACGTGTAGAAATCTAATAATTAGCTTAACACCTTTTTGTTTAATGTTTCTTATATTCTCAAAATTCATATATAAATTTATAGAAAGTTTTCTTGATGGATGAATTTATACAATGATAACATATAAAATAATATATATATTATATTATATATATATATATACATATATATATATCAATATTAATATCTAAACTGTGATTTTTGAGATGGCCATACAAGTTGGAAATATGCAGAAGGTATTTTAGTTCGAAGCGTACTATTTTAAGGAGACTATAAATGTGGCGTTCAACCTGTCAGCCTTCTTTTCTAGGATTTTCCTGTCGTTCCAGAAAATCCTATATATAATACCTGGATCTACGAATTAACTATTTACTAGTGCATAATTTTCACATTGTGATTTTCTTACGAGCTCATGAGTGCTCCGTTCGCTGCACTCAAAACTCGAAACACGATTTGGCTAAACTACGTTCGTAATTAAATTGTTCGCAATTAGCATGTCTTTGAGAACATCCTAAGAACAGAGTGATTAAACTAAATGGTGCTATTGCTTTATCGACTGACTGATTGACCAATCGATTCAATGTTGGAGTTACAACTGTGGAATAACTTGTGAGACAAAAGAACGACATCATGATTGATAATCCTATAAAATTGTCGAACATGTCTTTCAAGAATTCTTTTTTCAAAAATTAAACTTCTAGTTTACCGTTTTCAAATGGTATTTTGTGTTTTTTTCGCAGAATGAATAATGATCTTAGGAAAATGTTATACCCCGGTATCATTTCAATTTTTCTCATATTAATAACGCGATAGAGGCGCGAACAATTACTTCCATTAATAAAGTTTACGTTGTCTTTGTTTGATGAGCGATAATAAATTAAGATTCTACCTGTATATTCTCCATAACGAATAATCTCCGTTAAAAGGATTGTGTACAATTATGCTTTTATAATTCAGAATTTACTTCGGTTCTGTTTTGGAAATTCGTAAATTCTAAATATATACAATGTTTAAAGCGCGCGAATGTTTTATGATTCCTCGGCCACGGAAATACGAAACGAGAAACGAAATAATTAAATAAATCGACTCGTTACAGCGCCGGAGAACGTTAGGGTGGCTTCAAAGCATCAAAATGAATTAATCATCGGCCATTTCTCTAGGAGGCAGTAACAGCGGCGGATGACAGGGAGTTGGGTCACGCCAGATTACTCTCCTGCTCACCCCATCCTTCGCTGTCGCATTCGCTCTCTGATGCAGAGTCGCTGTCGCTAAACTCGACGGCGACGCGGCGCGCTAGAATGGATGCGACGTCGTTGAGTGCGTTCACCCGCTCCACCTCTTTCTGCTCGATCTTCTCTACCTTGCGTAGTTTTATACCTGGATAACAATTGTCTCGGATAAAATAATATTACTCTTAATTAACGTAAAATTATTTGATATCTAAGATTTTCCAAAGTGCTTTTAAGTGCTTCATTCTTTTTTGAGTTATCTTAAAAATCATAAAATGCAGATATAATTTACCATCACGAATCGCCTTGAGCAAATCATTTCGCGGGTCGACTAATGGGATATTCGGGTTGACGGGTTTCCTTAGCTGGCCATCTACAATGCTCTTCAGGGGCTTTAGTTTCGGCGGATTGGTCGCAATCATCTTTGCGATGTCACCATTTGTCAACGGCAATGGCGCCGTAGGTCCATTGGCGACCGGTGGAGGAGGCGGCGGTGGTGGAGGTGGCGGGATGTTGCATGGAGGTGAGATGGGTCGTGGCGGAGTAGGATCTGGGGTGGGTGGAGGTGGTGGAAGATCCTGGGGTGCTGGATCTGTCTCATCCGTACCCAATTGACCTGAATGGTTCGGTGGTGTCGGTGTCGAACGTTGACTTGGTAGAGGACTATCTGACCGACTTCCGCTCCTGTTCAGCAAGTGTGGCGGTATGGAACCTGAAATATTAACAATAAGTTGTACTAGTGACCCTCTAATAAGAGTCTGGACACGTGAAGTCCGCCATTATTCGTCAAAATTGTGCGAGAGAGAAAAAATCATGCTATCTCATTCTAGTGGCGCTGTAAGTTGTAGCTGATTGTAGCTCTACAAACTTCATAGTTTCTGTTTCGTCTCGCCTCATGCATCTTGCGGGATTCTCTAAACGTTTTATCGATGATTGTCGCTAACGTTAACTAACGACAGCCAATGGCAGGACAATCATAAAAGAAAGGGCGGCTCTCATTGGTTGTCGCTAGTTAATGATAACAACAGTTATCGAAAAAACGTTTAGAGAATCCCGCAACAGGACCATTAATATTCGAAGAAGAAGAAGAATCATTATAATTAATATTATAATATTATTATATTATTATATTATATATTATTATTATATTATATTATTATATTATTATTATATTATTATTATTATT